AGATTTCATGTGAAAGGTTGGTCCAGAGGGGGGGGGCTAGCATATATATATATATATATATTTATTTATTTATTTATTCATTTATTTATTTATATATTTATATTTATATTTATTTATTTATTTATAAACACACACACACATATATATATATATATTTGTTGATTTGTTTATTCGTATTTCTGGCTCCCGCTTTGCAACGTCAGCATGTGATTTGCAAATCAGCACAGCTCAAAGCGTCTTCTCCTGCCCCAGCATCAGCATCTGATGGTTGATAAGCCTGAAGCAGTCGATCACGACCTTACCCTTCACGGACTGGATGGGATCCACCACCACACCCACCGCCCTGGGGTTCAACTGCTCGAAGCTTTGCTGGGTGTTGATGTCCTGGGCCAATTTGCAGACATGCAGTGTCGGTCCAAGTGCAGCATGCTCGAGGTGCGGGCCGTGCCGGAGAACCAGCACCCGAAGCCAGGGTGAGAGTGGTACCAGCCAACCACCATTTCCGGCCTAGCGGGTCGAGCCACTTCTTGGGATAGAACTGTGCTTGGGTTGCTGCCCACCTACCCGTCTGCTTCAGCATGTCCAGCATCTTGGCTTGGAACACCGGGTCTACCGCCTGAGGGAAGCAGCACTAAGAACTGAATGTCTGGTGTGTTCAGGTGTCGCCTCGACGCTCACACTGTTTCCTGACTGCGGCATCGAGAAGACATCCACTACGCGTACCTTCGATCAGCACGGTGCTTCAAATCAAGATCTGTCAGCCTCGGGTCCCAAAACGGCGTCGGTTCCAGTCCGGGTGGCGGTGTAGTCATCAATGAATTCCCCGAGCATAAGGCCCATAACCTCCATCGGAACTCCGGCGCGGCCGTGCTTCAACATCTTCCTTGCACTGTCAGGCTGTCATGTACGCGTGCCAGGACAGAAGGCCAACCCAAACAGTTTTCGATCGCTAGTTCGTGGTGGCTAACGCAATGCGAGTGAGAGTCAGCAAGGCCAGAGAAGAAATGTAGACCTGCACAAGTTGTCCACCAATCGTCACAAACACCGCAATAAAAATCCATGGTGCCTGCTCAGCGGTGTCTGTCAAGGAAGCATCTTCCTGTGGCTGCTGGCCACCACCTTGCAGCCGCAGGACAGGCCCACTTCATCTGCGAGTGGACATGTTCAAAGACTTGTGACTTGACCACGGGACCGCCTGCCATACCTGGCATGTTCCCCAGGATTCGCTGAAGATTGAAGTTTCCCGCCATGGTTCTCCTCGGGCGGGTCCTGTGCGCCAGCAAGAGATATACCCGAGGATTTGCATTGCATTCTCTTCTGTGACTTGACTCTATCTGCATCAGACCTCGGGACCAATGAATGAATGTTGCGGCTCCAGGCTTGAGCCCAGGCTTGCGATAGTCACGGAAGCTTTCAGAGACAAGATGGCCCGTGGTAGGGTCTTCACATGGGTTCTAGTTGAGGTCCTGTTCCCTTCCAGCCCTGTCAGTTGTGGCTACTTGACACAACCTTCGTGGGCAGGGTGTAGCGGAGTCTAGCGCCTCGATGGCATAGCGAATTGGCGAGATGCTTCGCCTAAGACGCACGAGGCTCGCTGCATCTCTGGGGTGCAATGTTGGTGCGGCAGAGATGGCAAGGGCAATACAAATTCCGAGTACACAGGCCCAGACAAAGCGATCATCGAAGCGCTGGGTGATGCTGCAGCACCGCCCGCTGGGTCAATGACACCAGTCAACATGTGCACGGTCCTTGCTCATGCAACGGTGTGCCATGATGTATCACGAAACCGTCAAGTCCACCGCCACTACAGTCACTACCGCACCACTGACACGCCGAGGCAGAAGCATGACGGGGATGCCAGCAGTCATTGCCCGCTCTCCATTAGGAATAGCTGCCCCTCTCCAAAAGACAACGATGCCCGAAGAGGATCGCGTTACAGTCTTACAGCATGACGACGCATCACGTGGTTGGCCCTAGCATGTCTCATTCACATGTACTTCGTCTGCCGGCGGCCTATCGCGAGTCCGAGAGCTGCACAGACGAGTGCCTGGCAGAGCTGAGTGCTGAGCACGGATCACGTGGGAAGTGTCAAGGGCACTTCGTAAACAAGCAGCAGAACACGCCCCGAGTTCAGATGCCCACGGCTGAGTGCCAGGCCACCAGTGAGTAAACTGCTGCCAATGCTATAAACGGTGTCCGGAGACCACAACGAAGATGCACCATCAGTGCCTAGCTGGAGGGCGAAGTCTTTGAGGGCTGGTGTTCAAAGGCCTTTCAGGCTGAGCCCCGCACAAAGAAGCAAGCAAACCTAAGCCAAACGGTGCGCCCCTCTGCAGATGGAAACGTGGTAGTTTCGTGTTTGCCGGATCAGCGAATCAGATGCCGAAGCTAGGGAGTTTGACCCTCTCACAGATCTTCGCCTTGCTGCCGCAACAATGCAATGGCGGCTGGGTTTCACAATGCCGGATGCCTTCTACGCACCAGCTTGGCAAGAATGCAAAACGGGGGAATTCCACGTGCTTGAATATGCCACGCAGGTGCTGCATTCAGGAAGTTTCCAGTGGGGTTTGGAGCAGTGCAGCATTGAGGTCGGGATTGCAATCCTATAATCCCAAGATGCGACACTACCCTGCCCTCAGGCAAGGCACGCACCGAGGCACTGCAGGCTGATCAACATGAGATTTTGCTTTACACGGCCATATATTTCGAACTTTATGAGGGTGGGGTGCCTTGGTCGATGACAACACATGCCAGGCAACAGGAATGGCAAAAGATGCGAAAAACGCACTGAAGCCCCCTCGCACCAGACACGCGAAATTGTGCAACACGAACATGACGTGAAGGAAAACCGAACCTGATGCTCCTCCCTCCAGGTGTCGGAACCGCTGAAACCCATCTCGCCGCCCTCCCTGCCCCCTACAAATGTGGATGTGACTCATGTGACTGCTGACTAGTGACGGGGTGCGCACACGGACACACGCAAACGAAAGAACCGTGGAACACATGAGCTCCCACCCACAGGAATACGGTGCGGACAGGCACCGGTTGTCTGGAAGCCTGCATGCATCAAAAACCCATGCAACTCAAGACTGAGCACTTGAATTGTCGTGACGTAGCACGTCCTCACAAACGGCAGAACACTTCCAGATCGCTCTGGTCTCAAGCTGTTTTGATCTTAGCTGGGTTTCCGGCAAGGCATCTGACGGCAGCTCGGCCACGGCTTTGGCGCAGAGATACGTGAATCCATTGTAGTAGCCAGCAGCTCCTAGGCCGCGAGCACGGAGTTTTTGAAGCCACAGGCAGCAGCACGCAGCACTGACCCTGCCAAAGCAGGAGGGCCAAGCCGGGGATTCTGCGCTCTCGCCCAACCACCTTCTTCTCCTTCGCGAACTGATCCAGGGCTCTCATCTCACCGATAAAGGCCTCCGTCCCCGACAAGACTTGGGACTGGCGAGGGCTGGGGGCCTGAGCACCAGGCCATCGAGATGGAACCGAAGGACAGCAATCCAACCTGAGACTCTAAAGGATGAAGGTGCACCTACTGTCTTCCAGCTACACTCAGGCTGCGGCACGTGAAGTAACACCAACGGCGGTCCTGGCAGGAAAGGGGCTTGACACGAGCAACTTGCAATCCGGGGTACTGTGACTGGCGAGCGCGCATCTCTTCTCCGAAGTATCCGAACTGGGCGCCAAAGATCAAGCCTGGAAGCACATGCTTTCCGGCACACTTGCAGGACATCATGTGCTGACGAACATGACATGCGGAGTCGCAGCACCTAGTCCGGCAGTGGCCAGCAGGCGGGACAAATTCGTGGCCTGTACCGCCCAAGTGTGACATCTTCACTGGCAGTTGGTCGCTTCACGGCACCTTGTCTCGAGAAGTTTGCAGCCAAGCTCTTCTAAGAAGAAGGCAGAAGCCATGAAGTCCACCAAGACGTGAAACATCTGAAGATTCTCCTTTGCCTCTCAGGTGGATTATTGCATATCAGGACATGTTTGGGGGTAAGGCACTTACAAGACACCTTGCCCCAC